TTGACTTGAGAGCGTGTTTTGCGCGATTGAAAGCCCAGATAAGGTATAACAGGTGTGATAATAATCACGATTTTTGCCCGGTTTGTCAATTAGACCACCGCTTCTCTCTTGACAGCAACAGAGCAGGTATTCCTGTAACGCATTCTGATTGAAGAGCCACTTATTGGTGGGCACTATCGATGCATCTGTTGTTCATTAATTAAACCAATTATAGTTTTGAATCTATTTTTATCGCAAAATACATACTTTGTTGTGTCAAATAGATGTGAACAATGGGAAGGACTGCCGCCTCCCAGAAGGAATAGCAGCCGTCAACCAATTTATTGGTTCTGAAATCAACGACAAATTTATTATTAACGGTAACTACTTTATGCTGTTGTCAATAGTGGCCATACCTGCCGGCAAAGCCGCCCTCATATTTGTGTTGTTTATTTGTAACCCATTTTAGCAATGATTTAATGTCACACTTGTCTAAACTCTTGAGTAGTATGAGAGCTGCAACGGCGCAGAACGTGTAGCCCCCGTGAGCCTCATGTCCCGGCGCCGCACCGAACCCGCCTTCGTATGTCTGACACGATAGCAGCCATTCAACAGTATTATCAAACAAATTCTCGTCTTCAATGTCCAAAAGTTTGGTCACAGATATCGCACAATACGCGCCACTAATCCATAATACAGAATAAAGTATTAATAAAATGACAGATCTTTAACATATCTTAACGTCAAACCGAATATCAATTTCTCCTCCGGAATGCATGCGAAATGAGCCGTCATTTTGTTTCATCGAAAGTATAAAAGTTTTGATTTCGTTTCGGTTAATAGACTGCAATGCGTTTTCGTCGCAAAGGGTTACCAAAGCATTGACCGCCGCTTTAGCGCAAAATTCAATATTTATTAAATTCAATGAAATTAATTCACCAAAAGTTCTTACCATAAGTTGTGGCCAAATGCGAGATCTGTTGCGGTCCGCCTCCATATCCGCCCTCTCTATTCTTGCAATTCAATAGAAATGTGACAACTTTTGGAGCATTTAATTCTGTAATTCATATTTTACTCGTTATGATAATCCGATTGAGTATTAAATATGATGTAAACCTAATTCGGCGTTATTGTCGAGAATGGCCAGAGAGTGAGTTATCCAATACGTAAGCCACGGACGAGAAGAGTCTAGACATTCAAATGACTGATGCAATGGTTGACTCAAACCGCGGATTAAATATCTATTGTGTTTGTCGCGGAACAGAAGCGGTACTCTTCTAAAACAAACCGATCATAAGATATGGCAATCAATTAATTGTTTGCTTATATTCTCACTGATTGTCATTTTGCGCAATGCTTTCAATGGTTTCATAGCATCTCTCAATCGATTCCTCAACTTTTCTCTAATTAAATTCAAACCAAATATTGAATCATATTTTTATTGTTATTGTTTGAAGACATGTGGTATGAAATGGTATGAATGGATTGAGTCCTACTTGTTCTTCACTGGTATGGCTAACGAGTCCGTCGTTGTTGTACTTCGACAACTGATCCCTATTAAGACATCTCAACATCTTTTACAACTAAAAAATGCATAATTAATGCAAAATTAGTGATAAATAAGGAGAAAATGTTTTTAGAGGTCTTCGCATACAATGGATTAGTCGTGGGTTTCATATGGAAAGCAATGATAGCCTCAAAACCTCAATCAAAACCTACTTCACTAGCGATGGCTGAAGAGTGATCTCCTATTATGGCAATCGAGGGATGGTTTACAACGTTTGACAACATCTGCATCCAAGACATGCACACAAC